TTGACTAGATTAGGAAATAAGTTTACATCCAATGAGAAGAAATCAGGAGAAGGCAATCTAACCAAACAACTGGGAGTAAGAACAACATAGCAGTACCAACCAGGGCACTTCTAGTCAGCCCTGCTGCCTAGAGCACCAGTTTCTTACTATGGGGAAGGTATGTTGAGGTAAGTTTACCTTACAGAATTGTTATACAATTCTATTAGAAAAATGTGCTGAGCCAATCAATAATAAACAATACTCTAAAATTTATAAGACATTTTTCAAAGAACGAAAATATTGTATTTAAAAAATTTAAGATTTTTCTGTATGCTAAAGGTTCTGGAGAGTAGACATTATGAAACTGAAAAAAATATTAAAAGATAAATTATGACCAGGATAAATTATGGCTCATTGAGTAAAAGTACTGATGACCCAAGTTTCACCCCAGGAACCCACATTGAAGATGGGAGAAAATCAACTTCCCCGAGTTGTTCTTGGAGCTCCAGATGTGTGCTGTGGAGTGCTTATATCAGAACATTTATGCATACAAAAGAAAATACAAAGTTTTTAAAAATCAAAGAGACTTACCAAAGGAAACAGATCATGTCTATAACAACCCTGAATTGTAAAAAGTGAAGATAGACTACAGCAGTCAAGATCAAAATTCAGACAGGGTTCATTTTCTCTTCCTGCCATGATGATGGCTACCACCTTGCCAATCTCTCTCTCTCTCTCTCTCTCTCTCTCTCTCTCTTTCTCTCTCTCTCTCTCCCACTCTCTTTCACACAACCCTATCCTATCCTATCCTGGAACTCACCCTGTAGATCAAGCTGACCTTGAACTCACCAAGATCCACCTTGCCTCTGCCTCCTGAGTACTGGGACTGAAGGTGTGCCAGTACTACCTATTTCTACCTATTTCTCTCCTTTTTTTCATATTTACATATCCATCCCCCCCATTCCCTTGCCCTCCCATCCTCCCATGTTCCACACCCACCCCACCCCACTCCTCCCCAGGAATAGTGAGGCCCTCCACCAAGGACCTTCAAAGTCTGTCATATTGTTTGGGGGAGGGCCTAGGCCCTCATTGCTGTATCTGGGCTGCAATAGTATCCCTCCACACGGAGTGGGCTCCCAAAGTCCATTGTGCTCTAGGGATAAAGACTGGCTCCGCTGTTAGAAGACCCATAGACTGTCTTGGACTCCTAGCTGGTATCCATATTCAGAGGGTATAGTTTGGTCCAATGCTGTTTCCCCAGCTTTATGACTAGGGTCTCCATTCTGCCAGTAGGTCAGGTCCACTGTTTCTGCAGGTCTCTCCATCCCCGTCTTGGCTCCTTTGCTCAACCCTCCTCCCTCTCCACAACTGAATTCCAGTAGTAGGGTTCAGTGCTTAGCTTCTCTCTCCTTTTTAATTAATTAATTTTACATCTCAGCCACAATTTCCTCTCCTCACAGCCCCCCCCCTCTATTCCTACACCCCCCAAGTCCACTCTCCTCCTATTTCTATTCAGGAAAGGCCAGGTTTCCCATGAATACCAACAAAACATGGCATATCAAGTTGAAGTAAGACTAAGCATCTCTGTGTGTATTAAGACTGGGCAAGGTGAGTCATATGAGAAGTAGGGTTCCAGAAGCCAGTAAAAGAGTCAGAGATAGCCTCTGCTCCCACGGTTAGAAGTTTCACAAGAGGACCAAGCTACACAACTGCCACATATATGCAGAGGGCCTAGGTCAGTCCAATACAGGCTACCTGGTCCAGTCTCTGTGAGTTTTCTTGTGCTCTTCTTGACTCCTCTGGATCCTCTGGTTCCTGCAATCCTTTCTCCCCCTCTTCTGCAGGATTCCCCAAACCCACCTGTTTGGATGTGGGTCTGCATCTGTTTACATCAGTTGCTGGATGAAACCTCTCTGATGAAAACTGGGCTAGACACCAATCCCAGCACATCCTATAGGCAAGATGGACTGTAGGTTGAAGTTCCTGTGGCTGGGTTCATTTCTCACTCCCTCCTACATGCCTCTTTTTATGAGGATATAAATCCCAGGAGATCAGAGTCCCACACTATGACTTCATTTAACTTAGTTTCTTCTATAACATCCCAGTGGAATAGCTTTCCTCCACAATGGAGCATTTGTGAGGACTTTACCTCATTAACTTCCATTGTGTGTGGGGTGGGAGAAAAGGAAAGAAGACTAGAAAGTTCTGAGCCCCCTTTCCTCATACAGAGTCTAATCATCTTTGTAACAATAAAATTGACTGGCACAAGATTTCTTGATAGTGCCGCTGCCAAGTGTTCTCAAGAGAACTGCTGGGTTGTGTAGCTGTGAGTCATTCATGCTTGCATCAGTAGCCTTAATCATCTACAGTGAAAAGTCATTTCTTCACATTTCCCTAGAAAAAGTCACATAATAAGCTCTTTGTCCCAAGAGTCATATTGGGGATCTGGATTTCAATGTGTTAATTGTGGGTGGGTGGACATGGACACAAGCATACACACACACACACACACACACACACACACACACACACACACACACAAACACTTTAGACCATAACACAGATATTTTCAACAATTCTTTGTTACTTTATCTCTCAGCTTTAAGACTTCAATTGCATATATGTTAGACTTCTAAGTCCTATGAGTGACAAGAAAAAAAGCATTCTTTGTTTTACTTCCTTGGGTCTTTATCTGGCCTTGTTGTATTGGTGTGGTCTTGTTTGAGGAAGTGCATCACTGGAGGGGTGAGCTTTGAGATACTTACTCAAGCTTCACTTAGTGTGATAGCCAATCAACTTTGTGCTGCCTTCTGCTCAAGATGTAGGCAGCACCACATTTGCTGCATGTTGCCATGCTTACGATCACGATGATAATCGACTGAACTTCCCACACTGTAAGCCACCACCTCAATTAAACTCTTTCTTTGTAAGAGTTGCCATGTCACAGAAAAACAAACAAACAAACAAACAAACAAACAAACCCTAAGTGAAAACCTAATGAAGACACAGATGAATATCAATAACAGAGGTTTTTTTGTTTTTTTGTTTTTGTTTTTGTTTTTGTTTTTTGCGGGGGTGGGGGGGTGGGGGGGTGGGGGGGGACATTGAGACAGGATTTTTCTGTAGCTTTGGAACTACGGAGAACTCGAACTTGAAGTCTGTTGACCAGACTGGCTTTGAACCCATAGAGATCTGCCTGTCTCTGCCTCCCAAGTGCTTGGATTAAAGGCGTGAGCCATCGACACTGGGCAACAACAGAGCTATTTAACCTGCATTTTCATGATGCTTTCCAAAACACAATCTCACTTTTTGATGTCTTTTCTGCTTAAAATACCAAGGTCATCGAAACTATCAGGAGAAACTGGGACAACTGTCATCCCCTTTCCCTGTGGTTGGTGGGATAGAGAATCATGGTTTTCTTTCAAAGTAGTAGTTTAACTGTATGAGAGAAATTTGGGAAATAAGGGAAATTTTCTATATTTTAACTGTAATGATGAAAACATGAGTGTAAGCATTCCCTAGCAGTCATAGAATTTTATGTTAAAATTGGAAACTTCTACTCTATACAAATTATAGTTCAACAAAGCTTACCAAAACAAGAAACCAAATGTAGAGAGATGAACAGTACTCTCACAATATAACTGAGGTGATTTACAGCAGCCACACGGTCCGAAATGAAGTGGCTGTTTAAGTCTAGCATAATTCATTAGAGAGTGAGGAAGAAGCAGAAAGCAGTTCAGTAGACTGCAGCTTCTCAGTGACTGAACTGTGTTCACTATAGAGTGGGCCATTTTAGTAAAAGCTATGAATAAAAATTTAGTTACACACAAACAGTCCTGGCTGTCTTGGAACTCACATTTGTACACCAGGCTGAGACCAGAGATCTGACTGCTTCTGCCTTTCCAGGTGTTGGATTACACCTCCTGGATTACACACAAACTCTTAAAGCCCTTTCAAAAACTTACATTTATTTCTGGAATTGGGTAATTAAACACATACTCAACTGATTCACATATTTCATTCCTTCTAGCTAATCTACCATAGTTCAAAGCCATCCTGAGTGCTATACTTTTGTGAATCCTACTTTTTCTTTATTTTGTTCTTACTGCATGTATATATAGTGGTGGGGGTGGGGGCGGCTGTGCACGCCACAACTGGCACATCAAAGGACAACTCTGGAGTCAGTTCCTATTACCTTTTGTTGTTTCCTTCCTTCCTTCCTTCCTTCCTTCCTTCCTTCCTTCCTTCCTTCCTCCCTCCCTCTCTTCCTTCCTTTCTTTTTTAAAGCAACACACTTTATTTACAATAGCATATCAAAAACAGCACTTCATACTAAATCATGTAAGATTGCTCTACCTTAGGTCACCAAACTAGAATGGCAAGTGCCTTTACCTGTTGAGCCATCTGACAGCCTGAGTGAAATCAGATTCTAATGATCAACTTGTAATTTACAATGCAGATATTTTTATTTATATCAAATCTTCATTTTATAGCTTCATTTAAAAATAATTCTAATAAAGAATTAACTAAATCTTTAACATCAACTGCTTCATGTTATCTGCCCAGGAAATACTCAGCTCAATTAAGAATGTTATTCTAAGCTAGGTGGTGGTTCACACTTATAATCCCACTACTCAGAGAGGTAGGGACAGGAAGATCTCTATGAGTTTGAGGCCAGCCAGTCTACAGAGTGAGCTCCAAGACAGCCAGGGATACACAACACAATTTTTTAAAACCTATCTCAAAAAATCAAAAAAGTCTAAGAGAACGACAGGGTTTTTTGTTTGTTTGTTTGGTTGGTTGGTTGATTGGTTGGTTTTTTGAAACAACAGTTTCTCTAATAGTCCTTGCTGTCCTGGAACTCTCTCTGTAGACCAGGCTGGCCCTGAACTCACAGAGACCTGCTTGCCTCTGCTTCCTGAGTGCTGGAATTAAATTATAGAGCAATACAGCAAAGCTTTTGCTATTAACTTTTAAAGGAACTAAACATTGAAATGAATCTGAATAAATGGTAAACTTACAGTTTGTTGCTGCATGAAAGTGAGAAGAAAGTGCCTGGGTAACGGCACTCCAAAACATGTACAGAATTTCCGGCTGTCCATCCTGTGAGCCAAACATACAAAACAAGAGAACACTTGTTTATTATTTGTGTCAAAGGCTGCAGAGCTACTATGAGGTTGCCAGCACCCATAGCAGGTGGTTTTCAACTATAGGTAACTCCTGCTCTAGGCTAAAACACACATGCCATTCACTCACAGACACTTAGTCATACACATAAATAATAACATAACCAAACAGAAAGAGAGAGACGATTCAAGTTTTGTTTTACATTCAAGTAATTAGTTGCTATCCTATCCTGCTCTGCTGTTCATTAGCCCCATGGCCTTGGGCAAGGAGTGAGGACATTCTCAGCCCTCAAGTCCTCATCTATAAGACAGGCTGGCAGCAGAACCATCAAGCAGCATTACTACAAGGGTTACAGAAGCTAACAAAAGTCTTGGTCCAGTACAACATATAATAAACCCTCAATGAATGTTAGCTATTATTGGATTCATCCTTTGATATACACAAGCATTTGTGGGATTGTAACAAGACAAACACACACACTCAGATCAAGGATAGCTAACATTATAAAAGAGAATATTCAAAGTCATTATATAATTTTTTAAAAGAAAACCAAAAATGACAGGATCACTGCTAATTAAAAGCATCAGGGTACTTGCATTCAATTTTGAGGGTGTTTAATAAATAGGCACTGGAAAGGAAAGGAAAGTATTAATACACACAGAATTTGTTAGGAAAGAAAGAGGAGGGCTGGAGAGATGGCACAGCAGTTAAGATCACTGGCTACTCTTCATGGGACCTTGCATTCACATGGCTGGGATTCAAAGCCTTCTGGCATCCATAGACATGGCATGTACATGGGGCACACCATATATGCAGGTAAAATAACCACATATATAAATAAAAATCTCAAAATAGCCGGGCGTTGGTGGCATACGCCTTTAATCCCAGCACTGGGGAGGCAGAGGCAGGTGGGCCTCAGTGAGTTCCAGGCCAGCCTGGTCTCCAGAGCGAGTGCCAGGATAGGCTCCAAAGTTACACAGAGAAACCCTGTCTCGAAAAACAAAACAAACAAACCAAAAAAACCCAAAAAATTCAAAATAACTTCAATTAGGAAAATAAAAAATATTTTAATTTTAGAATAAAGTTAAATTTAATAAAAAAAAAAGGTGCATCTGTTGAAAGACCCTCAAATTGAGGAATCTCCAACCTGGATGGTCACCCAAGAACTCAATATCCAGTCCAGTTGATGCAACACGCAAAAGGCTTTAATGCAGTTGTTTAACGAGCTAATCCCATGTTAGGTCAGGTCTTTCATCCATCCACTATGGCGGGTGGCTAGGAAAGATGCTGAGAAGCCACTGCATAGAGATCTTATAAGAAAGCATAAGGGAGTGTCTAGGGGTACGCACAGGCTCAGGATTGGTGTGCCTCCAGGCTTGGAGGGTTTTCCCTGTGTTGATTGGTCAACGGGTTGTTATGGCCCACAAGCCCTCCCAGGGTGGTTGCTATGCTCTGTGTGTCATTGCTGTGCACTTGTCCATAAAGCACACCCAGAGCCATAGAGCACTGCACCACCAGCTAACTTCTGATTGGTTCTCTGCCACGAGGCAGGCATCTGACCTCCTAGTAACCAAGACAAGGTCAGGCAAGTATGTGTTCAGCTGTTATGGCTGCCGAAATGGGGAGCTGGTCCCTTCACTGTATGTCTGTCATATATCAAATTGCTAGTATTTGACTAATTTTGAAGTCTAAAAATACTAATTTCATATGGGTGAAAGTAACTATAGAAAATACGTTCTAATAATGAAATACTATCAGTGTGGTAAAAATTAAATCCTAGTCTGAAAAAGAATCAGTGAAAAATACTAATTTATAATTTCATACTTATGTACACTTGCATTTTTGTTATATTTGCTTCTTGCTAGAATACTAACGGCTTTGAACTTATGCATATGAAAAATTTTATATATGAGAAAGGAAAATCACGTTGACTTCTTATAAAATATAAAATGACAGAAATCTGGAGGGCATAGGAGCTAGTCAAAGATGGCGCCCAGCAGAAGTTAGATGGGCAAGTCCTGAGTTGTTTACAAAAAAATATGATTGGTTGCCTAGATCAAACCACATGATAGGTTGACCTTTAAAACCATTGGCTGGCTGTTTTCCCACTTTGCAAGTTTTTTGCTTTAAAAGATGCTTGTTGTGGGGCAATAAATGAGTTCCTGCTTAACTGGACTCCCTGCTGTGTCCAATTGTCTCCTGGACCCTGGGAGGCAGCACACTTACCCTTCCTGGGACCCAGCTTAGCCTTCCATGGTTGGGCTAAGACTCTCAAAATCTATTCAGATTCCTAAGAGTCATGTATTTACATATTCTCATGTATCTCATATATCATATATTTTCTTTTGTTAAATCAGGGTCTCGCTTCATAGCTAAAGCTAATCTGGAACTCACTGTATAGATCAGGGTGGCATAAGGAGATCCCCCTGCCTCTACCTTCCTAGAGCTAGGATTACAAGAGGAATTACTATGCTCAGCTCCCATGTATCTTAAAGATGTTTGTCTATACTAAAGAAGTATCACTTATTTATTAAGAAAAAAAGAAAAAAATTCCAGGATCTTACCCTTGGTGGACAGAAAATGTTTAACAAAACTGAGTATGTTTTCATAATTAAAGAATTCAAAACCCTAGGAATGGGAGGAAATTACATAAACATAATACAGCCTATATATGAACTCTACAGATGATATTCAGTGGCATAACATGCAATGTCCCCTCACATTGATCACAGCAAGTCCTACTGGAACAATCAGCAAAAAAAAGAAACAGAAGACCTCTACTTATCTATATTGTGTAGAAACTCTAGAGTCCATAAAAATGTCATTAGAATAAATGAATTTATATCATTCTAATGTAAATTATATAATTATTTAATCTGTAGATAAAAAGTCAACACATATCAGCTGTATTTATACACACACAGTAAACAAGCTGAATGGGAAATGAACAAAACAATGTCAAGCATAAAACACTTAAAAAATAAAGTTAGCCAAAAAGGAAGGACTTGAATAATGAAAGACAGAGAACATTGGTGAAAAGCTGAAAAACTGAAAGAGTAAATGTAAAGACATCCTCTGAAGGTAGAATGGAACCCTTAACATTATTTAAATGCTCACAGTACTGACAGTGATTTACAGATTTAAGACAATCCCAATGCCTTTTTCTTTTTCCAGAAGCAGGAACAAAGTCTTTAAAATAACATAGAATCTTACAGGTGCCAAATATCCAAGTTCTTTCTTGATGCCTTAACACTTTCTGACTTCTCTGCAGTCATCAAAACTACTAGTATAGAGACGGATACAAGACCAGCCTCACATAATATGTAGCCCAGAACCAAAGATTTATAGAAATATGATGATATGAGCCACAATAAGGCACCTTGGCTACACAAAGAAAATGCAGTCTTACCAACAAATGTGCTGAGAAATTAGATATAGATGTGCTAAATAATGAAACACAATCTGTACCTTACCCATAATGAATATTAAGACTTTAACAAGACTTAAAATAGCAGAATCCCTAAAGGAAAGCATGAAGCAGCTCCAAGACAACATATATCACAATAATTACTGGACATGGTTCTGGCATCAAACTGAAAAAGTCAGTGCAGAAATTAAATCAACTGAATGGGAAAAATATTTGCCAACCACAGACATAATGAGGGGTTACTCCCTGGAAAACACTACTCTATAACAATACAGCAATACAACAATACTCAATAACAATAGACGACAAAGATGAAGCAGCAGCAACAGCCTCCACTGTCAATTAAAAATATAGAAAAGAATTAAATAGACATTTCTCCAAAGAAAACATCAGGAACCTGCAGGGAAGTGCAAATCAAAGTCACAGAGACACCTTACATGCATTGGTATGGCCACTATCCAAACAAGGTAAGACACAAGCTTTAATGCTGATCAGCTCTACCTCTTTAAGAGACAGACCCCGCCCCCTGACAACAGTCAGGGCATGCACAGGGACATGCCATGAACACATCACCCACCACACAATTACAGCCTGCGTGAGGACTCTGGGCATGCATGGAACCTCAGTGCGCGTGCACAGTCTTCCCTTTAAAAGTTCCAACTTCCCTGCTCTGCTCTCTCTTGTTTCTTCTTCACTCTCTGTTTGCTTCTGCTTCTCTTCACTATTTCTCTATGGTGACCATCCATGGCAGTCAGCCATTAACTCTGTTTCTCTTCTCTCTTAGTCTCTCTACTCTGCCGGGCCTATAATAAACTAGTTAATGTCTCATCCGCCTCTTTTCCTCTTTTTCTTTATATCTAATTTAAACAAAAACATAACAACAAGAAGTCTGTAATTTCAACACCTTCTTGGAGCCAGGATGATCAGGGGTTAAGAGTCATCCTCACACACCTTAGGTGTTCTAGGCCCACATAGGCTACATGTGACAACAAACAGAAACCAAAAGCAAAACAGCAAAGTCACTGTAGAGTGAGGAAAATTTGCTCTACTTTGAGTGGATGGGTGCATCATTGTGCCTTTTTCTGTTCCACATGTGAGCTAGAGGGATAGCAATGGTTTTCTTTCTTTCTTTCTTTCTTTCTTTCTTTCTTTCTTTCTTTCTTTCTTTCTTTCTTTCTTATGAAGTCTGAATCTCTTGGTTTTGACCTGAAGGCAAGATTGAATCCACCACATTGATATGGAAAAGAAGAGTACACAGTATTAGATAGGGACAGATATAAAGCACAAGTGAATATATTTGAAAGAGAGGGAGGTAAGGATGCCAAAGAAAGGCAAGGGAAAGATCCAGGGTACCTTTCATCACAAGAGACACTACTACTCAGCAACTTGAGAGACTTCACAAGAAAATATCATCATGATCTAGACTTTAGTTCAGGAAAAACACTCTGATAGTAATATGGAGGTTTGATTGATAGTATGGGTGGTATTCAGCCTACAGACAAGAATATAATTTAGGAATTAAAAAAAAAAAAAACCTCTAGGTACAAGA